GAATCTTGAATTTATCCTGTAGTTTATTCTGTAGTTTAATCTGTAGTGTACTCTGGAGTTTACTTTGTAGTTGAATCTGTGGTATAACATGCAGAGTCTGAGGTCTTTGACTGGATGGGCTCAATGATGGTGGTGTTCTGGTGCAGGTTCTGGGTCTGGGCGAGGAGTGGAAGGGTGGTGACGTGGCTCGGACCGTGGGTGGAGGTCAGAAGGTCCGATGGTTGAAGAAGGAGCTTCTGAAGCACTCTGAGAAGAAGGAGATGATCATCATGTTTGTGGACAGGTGACTCATGATCTTTGTGTCCTCGTGTCTTTTCTTCCCGTCTCTCTTTGTTCTTCCTTTTGTTCTTTGTCCCGTCAGAAACCAGACTCACCTGTCCTGTTTTGTCTCACCTGTTCGTGAGTCAGGTGATTGTGATCAGAACGCCTGTTAATAAAGCTACGGAGAACAATCTGTGACGGAGTTTCTCAGAAACACGAGTCTGGTTTTTATTCCCAAACAAAACTTTCCTGCGTGTTTTCAGAATAAAAAAATAAATAAAAAACTGATAAAAACATTTGGAAACAGACGGATCAGAGGTGGGGAACACACCGTCTGCTGGTGCCTGACAGTCAGGACTCAGGGTACAGCCTGTAACCATGGAAACTAAACGATCAATGTGTTGATCAGCTGAATGACACAAAGGAGTTTATTAGACAGCAAGTCTTGGTAAATCAGGAAAGTTGATTATGACGGGACTTTTATTACAGCTGGATCTCTGTTACAACCAGATTTTATTACACTGGAACATTTATTACATTAAAAGTTTATTACTCTGAAAAATTCATTACAACAGAGAGTTTATTACATTAAACAGTTTATTACAAAACAAAGTTTATTACAACAGTTTATTACAACACAGTTTATTATAAGTTTATTACAACAGTTTATTACAACACACAATTTATTTCAATCAACAGTTTATTACATTAAACAGTTTATTATGACAGTTTATTACAAAACAAAGTTTATTACAACAGTTTATTACAACAAAGTTTATTACAGCAGACAGTTTATTACAACAGTTTATTACAACACACAATTTATTTCAATCAACAGTTTGTTACATTAAACAGTTTATTAAAACAATTTATTACATCAGACAGTTTATCACATCAAATGGTTTATTGCAATACACAGTTTATTAAATTAAACAGTTTATAAAAACAAACATGCAGTTTATTAAAACAGGCATTTTATTAAAACAGGCAGTTTATTACATTAGTTTATTAAAACAGTTTATTACATCAGACAGTTTATTACATCAGACAGTTTATTACACCAGACAGTTTATTACACCAAACAGTTTATTACATCAAACAGTTTATTATAATACACAGTTTATTACATTAAACAGTTTATTAAAACAGACAGTTTATTAAAACAGGCAGTTTATTAAAACAGTCACTTTATTAAAACATGCAGTTTATTAAAACATGCAGTTTATTAAAACAGACAGTTTATTAAAACAGTCAGTTTATTAAAACAGGCAGTTTATTAAAACAGACAGTTTATTAAAACAGACAGTTTATTAAAACAGACAGTTTATTAAAACAGTCAGTTTATTAAAACAGGCAGTTTATTAAAAGAGGCAGTTTATTAAAACAGTCAGTTTATTAAAACATGCAGTTTATTAAAACAGTCAGTTTATTAAAACAGCCAGTTTATTAAAACATGCAGTTTATTAAAACAGGCAGTTTATTAAAATGGGCAGTTTATTAAAACAGTTTATTAAAACAGACAGTTTATTAAAACAGACAGTTTATTAAAACATTTTATAACTTGTGTTTGTTTCCGTCTGCAGCTACGATGTGATATTTGCTTCGGGTCCAGACGAGCTGCTCTCCAAGTTTTCTCGCCTGGGACACAGAGTGGTTTTCTCAGCTGAGGGGTTCTGCTGGCCCGACCAGCGATTGGCCTCCAAATACCCCGAAGTGCATTCTGGGAAACGATACCTGAACTCTGGAGGTGAGGGACCGGAACCAGAACAAGTCAGAAAGTCATTGGTTCAGCTCAGTGGTACTGATCGGGTGTTTGCCTTCAGGTTTCATGGGGTTCGCTCCGGACCTCAGCGCCATCATCCAGCAGTGGAAATACAAAGACAACGATGACGACCAGCTGTTCTACACCAGGATCTACCTGGACAAGACTCAGAGGGTAAACTGGGTCAGAACCGGCCGGGTCAGATCACCTGACCTGAGTCCAGTTTAACACATCTACCTGGACATGACTCAGGTGGTAAACTGTGTCAGAACACCTGATCTGACCCGGTTCTGGTATTTTCTGCCGTTGAATTTTAAAACAGTGAAGTGATTTTATCAGTTTTATTAACTGATGGGATCTGTCTCTTCAGACCAAGTTCAATATGACTCTGGACCATCGCTCCCGGATCTTTCAGAACCTGAACGGCGCCATCGGTGAGACTAAGCAGAACCAATTTTCCTTCCTAGACTCTCGGGTCTTATGTTGTTGTAGTTTCTCTCCTTTTTGTTGTAGAGTTAAATCTTTAGTATCTTCAGTCAAAGGTTTGAACTGTGGTACCATGAACTGATCACATGACCATAGGACCATGTGACCATATGACCATGTGATCACATGGTCCTATGACAATAGGACCATGTGATCATGGGATTTTGCAATTTGAAATATCAACATTAACACACGCCCATCTGACAGACGAGGTCGTCCTGAAGTTTGAGAGGTCAAAGGTCAGATTGAGGAACGTCGCCTACGACACACTTCCTGTCATCATCCATGGAAACGGACCCACAAAGGTAACGAACCAATCAGAGGCCTCCGCCTGCCCCATGTGACAGCAGAAACAGGAAATGAAGTTTACTTTTTTTAAAGAAAACTTTATTTAGCAAAAACAAGTACAAAACAAACATGGCAGTTCACAATAATGTAACTCTACAAAGGGCGTAACAGAGTCACACTTCGATATGAAAAAATGAAAGAAAGAGAAAAAAGAAATAAAATTAACTACAACAAGGATTATATGTTTTGGGATTAGGATTAACATGCATTAGTGCACAGTTCCATTAACATTTCGTACAGGTCTTCATGTGTTTCAATATATTTCAGGGATTTCAAAAATAGATGGAATTCAGATAAACAATGTTAAAAGCTGGGGATGATCTTAGAACTCTGTTTATGAATAAATCATTTTTCCAGACAAAATATCAGATTACAACCGAGTTCCATTTTTTTGTTTTCCAATAATACTCCAGATGTTCCCACGTCTCTGGAAATAGATCGAGGAAGTGTAATTTTCAGTGTGATCCATCTTTCCAAGTGATTCCAGAATATTTAGGTTTTGTTTCGTTCAAAGAAGAAATGATTTATTGTTTCTAGATCCTGTTCACAGAACGAGCCTTTACTGTCATCGATATTAAAACGAGTTCTTCGTAGCTCTTTGGAGGGGTCAACTGCATTTAACATTTTAAAGTGCGCTTCTTTAGCCTTTGGTTGTACGGGGAGTTTTAAATATAGAGTTCTTAACATTTCTATTGACTTTTTGTCAAATGTGCAAAGTTTGTTATTTTTATTTATTTTCCCAGAGAATAAAGTTTCACTCAGACGCCTTCTGATCGTGTGGGTGTTGAATATTTTGTCACTAAATGATATTCCATTAATAGATAGAGTGGGTAAATGTGGAGTTATAGGATGATATCGATTATATTTTGAATCAGATTAATAAATTGTTTTGGTAATGTTTTAATTAATCTGGTAATTTGGGGGGATATAATCTATACTTTGAACAGAATGTTCACAGTTTAGCATGTAGCCATTAGCATCCATTAAGTGAGAACAGACCAAATGTTCTTCTCCATCCAGTGTTTGTGAAGGACATGAAGTTTACTGAGCGTTCAGGAAGTTTATCTGAGTATAATGTTGTGTTGTTAGTAAACATTTGTTTATAAACAGAATGAAGATGATGTCAACCCGACCTGAGGCGACGCCTGCTGAAGTTCTGGCTCAAACCTTTGGTCCAGAACTGAAATCTGTAGAAACATCAGCTCAGAAACACATAAAATATTTTCTGTTTGTGGTGTTTCTAAAGAACACCATGAAAGGGTTTGACCCAAAACAGGAAACATGAAATATTTCATACTTAATCTGAGAATGTTGGACTTTTGAGTCAAACAGGAAATCTGAAGCTGACAAACACATTGTTGTATTTTAAAAACTGTGAAATTATTTCAAACTAAAGATAAAACTCTAAAAACTCAAGTCAGGTCCTCTGGACGTTCAAAACTTTTTTTTGTTTTGTTTTTTTGAACGTCCAGAAGACCTGACTTAAGTTTTATATATTTTTCTACCTGGATTATTAAGTTTTATATATTTTTCTACCTGGATTATTAAGTTTTATATATTTTTCTACCTGGATTATTGAGCAGCATCAGGATGAAGAAAAAACGGTTTCTTGTTTTTCTTCATGTCTCTGAAAAACTGTTTTATGACCTGAATCAGTGAAATCATCTTGTCTGGAACTAAAACCTTGAAGGAGGAGCTTTTAATCTCTGACCAAACGATTAGATTAAATGAACTGATAATCCAGTTTACGTCTCGTCCCTGTCCTCTGTCCCTGCAGCTGCAGTTGAACTACCTGGGGAACTACGTCCCCACAGTCTGGACCTACGAGCACGGCTGTGGGATCTGTGACGACGACCTGCTCTTCTTCACCGACGTTCCTGTACGTCCTAAACATCTGCATGTCCCACAGAGACACTCAGCACAACAAAGTCCAGAGACGCAAAGAGTTCAACAGAACTGAGACGTTTGTTCTTATTTTATCGTTAGTGCAAGTTTCAAGTCAAGTCAACTTTATTAATAGAGCACATTTAAAACAGAGCCTGTTATCAAAGTGCTTAATAACAACAACAACAATCAGTGTGTAAATTAAAGAGAAAAAAATATATATATACACTAATAATAATAACTGAAGAATTAATAAAATGCATTTAAAACACAGGGTCACAGATTAAAAAACTCTAGATCAATTTACACTGAGTGAAATGTCTGAGAGAACAGATGAGTTTTTGGCAGAGATTTGAAGTGAGGAAGGGAGGTGGTCTGCCAGATGATGGGGGGCAGGTTGAAGGGAGGTGGCCTGCCCGATGCTGGGGGGCAGGTTGAAGGGAGGTGGCCTGCCAGATGATGGGGGACAGGTTGAAGGGAGGTGGTCTGCCAGATGTTGAGGGGGCAGGTTGAAGGGAGGTGGTCTGCCTGATGCTGGGGGGCAGGTTGAAGGGAGGTGGTCTGCCTGATGATGGGGGGCAGGTTGAAGGGAGGTGGTCTGC